GATTATGGGTGGGATCAGTAACAGTAAGAGCTTGCCAGGGTGAATGAGTTACCTGTCTGTAGCTTGCCGCAGAGCGAGCCGTCGCTGGAGGCACACGGCGACTCCTCCAGCACACTGTCGTCCAGCAGGTGACGGATGCCCTGGATGTACGGGGCCGTCGCACGGCACGGCAGGCTCTGGGACTTCTCCACTTGAGGGTGTGCGCACGACATGAAGCTGGGGGGAGAGAGAGAGAGAGAGAGAGAGAGGGAATGAGATAGTGGAGGAATGAAGCTGGGGAGAGAGAGAGAGAGAGAGAGAGAGAGAGAGAGAGAGAGAGAGAGAGAGAGAGAGAGGGGGGAATGAGATTGTGGAGGAATGAAGCTAGGGAGGGAGCCAGGGGAGAGAGAGAGAAAGAGAGAAAGAGAGGGGGGGGTGTGATTGTAGAGGAATGAAGCTAGAGAGGGTGTGAGGGAGGGAGCTGGAGGAAGAGAGAGAGAGAGAAAGAGGGGGGATGTGATAGTGGAGGAATGAAGCTGATGGAAGAGGGAGAGAGTGGGAGAGGGAGAGAGAGAGAGAGAGAGAGAGAGAGAGAGAGAGAGAGAGAGAATAATAACATGTAGAAAGAACTTACTTGGCACTGAGGCTGCGTGACTTTCTGTGATGGGACGGGGGGATTCGCGAGACGGTCAGCTGGTTCCTGGGCTCTGTGTGGGGTGAGGCTGGGGGGTATGTGTTCACATCCTCCCGGGAGGAGGAGGAGGAGGAGGCAGCACCAGGGGGTTCCAGCTTGAGGGAGAGTCTGTGGAATAAAGGAGGAGGAGGTTTAGTTTTAGTTAGGGTTTTACGGCACTTGCAACACAATAAGGTCATGTAAGTGTCGAAGAATAGATGTGTTAGAAGAGAGTGACATACACAAAAAAGGAGTAGAGAAAAGTACGATAGATGTTAGATAGGAAAGAAGGAGCAACCACGAACTACACACTACACAGAGGAGGAGGAGGAGGAGGAGGAGGAGGTGAGAGGAATTTTGAGTATTGTTTGAGAGAAGAGAGAAGCACATTGACATAACAATGGTCATTTAGTGGTGGGAAAAGTACGATAGACAGACCAACAACAGAGGGACAATGAAGAAGTAGGACCTAGCAGTGGTGCCCTCTGGGCCAAACCGCTGGCGTGATGAGAGGAATGAAAGAGTTGAAATTTGTCAAAACAGTAAGCATGTGGTCAAAATGCGGAGCCCCTTATCAAAGTAGTAAGCCAGATGTTAGAATGGTAGGTTAATGGTCAAAATGGTATGCTAGTCGATACGATAAAAGCAGAGAAACACTGTGCGGAGGAGCAAAATTAATGGGAGGCAGCATAGGAAATGAATCATCATAAATAAAAAATTTTGAGCATGAGTTAAGAGAAGTTCATCGACAAAACAACGGTCACTTAGTGCATGGAAATTATCATATAGGCAGACAGAAACAATAGAGGGCTAATTTCTTTTCCTCCTCCTGAAAAACGGCCCTGTTGCTATGTGACAACAAGGGACTTGATCTATGCAATAGGGTGCGACTTGTTCACTCACCCTCTTCATTCTGAGATGTATTTGAAAGAGTAAAGAAAATGGAGTGCAGATAAAAAAAGTAAGACGGACAGAAAAACCACCCACAAATATAGAGATTACGACCTGCTTTTGATGCCCTTCAACCATCATCATTTTTAGACTTAGTGGATGGTACGTTGCCACACAAATGGTCTGATTTTCTCAGGAGATTTCAACCTTCAGTTAGAGTTTTCAGACAAACACATCAACATCACAACAGTCATTTAGTGCAGGGAAAGGGCAAAAGACAAACAGAAAGAAACACCACAGGGGCACAAAAAAGAATTAGGACCACCCAGTAGCACCCTCCAACCACACACACAAGAGACAGAAGATGAAAACAACAGCAACACACCCAGAGAGCAGAAGAAGGAGCAGGCCACATCAGATCCCCACCCAGAGAGCAGTAGAAGAAGCAGACCACCTCAGTTCCCACCCAGCAACCACCCAGAGACTTACTTATAGTTGTCGTCTTCCACAAACTTCTGCAGCTCTTCGATGTACCTCACGGACTTGAGGTAGTTCTGGATGTGTTCCAACACCACCGAGTTCTCTGTGAACACACCACAAGAGGAAACATCATATGACAAATTGTACACCTGTTAGATGTTTAGTAGTAGAGGTTTTACGGCGCTCGCAACTGCATAAGGTCATATGAGCGCCAAAAGATTGGAGGTGTTACAAGAGAGTAACAAATATAAAAAAGAAGAAGGGGAGATAAGGATGATAGATTTTTGATAGGAAAGAAGAAGCAAACCACACCAGAGCACCCGTCAACCACCCACACACGTTTTATATACAAGAGAGGAGCAAACAAAGGCAAGGAGGAGGTGAGACAATTTGTGAAGCGTGCTGACAAACTAAGTAACTTCTCCAATTTTATCTCCATGGAAATAGATACATCACGCTTATAGGTGAAGTTATTACTATTTATAAGTATGAAATCATAAAGGGCGTGTTGTACTTTAAAAATATGACCTCAATAAGAAATCAACAAATTTGACCCAAGTGTCGATTTTTGGCCAATATCTCCATATGTGGATAGCGAGAAGTAACTTATTTTGTAAGCACGTCTCACATTTGTTTGTTTGTTTGTTTGAGTAAAGAGAAGCACATCGACACAGTAGTGGTCATTTAGTGCTGGAAAAAAGTAAGACAGACAGACAGAAACAATACAGGGAAAGTAAAGAAGTAGTAGTAAAGAAGCAGGACCTACCAGCAGCGCCCTCCAACCACCCAAGGAGGAGAGACAAGGATAAAACATGTTTGACAGGAAAAAAGAAGCAAACCGTAATAGAGCACCCGCCAATCACCCAGAGAGAGAATAGCTTCAGGTGCTTGATAGGGAAGAAAAAGAAGAAGCTTGTTCTTGTTTCAGGAAGCAACATCCCTGCACTCCGGACATGTCCATTGATGCTCTGTTGCTCTCTCCAAAATGTTGCCGAAGGTCCTTCTACTGATTGTGCCAGTGCACAATCTGGAATCTGGTTGAACGTTCTTCTGTTCATTCCTGCAAGGATGCCAGATTTTCTGCTACCTTTTTTTTAATTCCCAAAAGCATCATCCTCAAAGAAGAAGCAAACCACAGCAAAGCACCCTCCAACCACCCCCACAGAAAGAAGAGCGCGTCCTTACCGTACTCAGACTGCTGGAAGTCTGCGATGACCCTCAGGATGTTGTTCATCTGGACCCTCCGTGGCTGGCTCTCCAGGCCGCCTGAGTGCGGGTGTGCCACGTCGATGTAGATCAAGTCTGTCAGGTACAGACCTACGGGTGCATGCGGCCACGAGGAGAACAAACAAGAAAAAGATTTACCATGGCACGGGGAGATAATCCACGGTGAGCAACACATTTCTGACCACAAGACAAAGGGGAAATAGAAAAAGAAAGCAAATACAACAAACAACAAAAAAAAAACCCAAAAAAGAAGAATGTAATGGTTAATTGGTTGAGAACTTTTAAGAGTCTAATAATTTATGGCCAATTTCTTTAACTCCTTATCTCTGGCAAGTCCCTCACAGCGGCTCACGGTCGGAACTGTGGCCTATTCCTTTAAGACGAATTCGACATCAAATTACTTTCCGCCAACAATTGCCAAAAACAGGCGGTCTCTTTTACTTAGAAGAGTTCATTCATTAGATGAAGAACTATCAAATAGGCTCACTTGTTTTGATTTAATGACAAATTTAGTGATGAATACGTCACTTTTAAATTTTGTACCAAAAGAGGGCTGGTGCATAAAGGGTTTACCACCCCACTCAGAGATGAAAGAGTTGTAGTTGTTATTGATCCAGCAACAGCTGGGCTCTCACCCTGCTGTCCAATGCCATGTAGTGATAGGTGAAGGTTTACTGCAGTTGCTGTAATGTTCCATAGAGGTAAAGAGTTAAACTGCTGGAACGGGCCACTTTTTTATGTGTCTATTTTTCAGACTCATCCATATCTAGAGACTATTTTAGTAAGTGCTTTTCGGCACTTGCAACATAATGAAGTCATATAAGTGCCGAAGATAAGAGTTGTTACAAGAGAGTAACAAACACAAAAAAGAAGGAGGGGAGATAAAAACGATAGATGTTTGATAGGAAAGAAGAAGCAAACCACACCAGAGCACCCGCCAACCACCCACAATCTTGAGACCGACGTGCTCACCTAGGTAAGGTATACAGGGCAGGCGCACGTTCTCCATGTACTCGCGGAGCCGCTGTCGATTGTTGTTCTCGGAGAACAGGTCGGCCATCCTCTCATACATGCTCTTGTCTTTCTTGGACAGCATCTGCCAGGTCAGAGGGGAGGAAAGGTCACAAGTGAGAAGGGAGGAGAGGTCAGAGGTCAGAGGTCAGAGGGGGGGGGGAGGAAAGGTCACAAGTGAGAAGAGGTCAGAGGTTAGAGGGGAGGAAAGGTCACAAGTGAGAAGAGGTCAGAGGGGAGGAAAGGTCACAAGTGAGAAGGGAGGAGAGATCAGAGGTTAGAGGGAAGGAGAGGTCAAAGGTGATAGGGGATTTGATTGTACCAGTGAAGAGCAGTGCATCAAATGATAAGGATCACTCAAGGCAGAGAAAAAGACAGACACAAACAGTAGCAATAGATGAAAAAAAAAGAAAAAAAGAAAAGAGGTCGGACTTACCAGGGGTGTCAATCAACTAGCCACAGTGAGAGAGGAAGAGAGGTCAGAGGTGAAACAGGACGATGGGTAGAGAGAAGAGCATCAACACTGCAGCATTTATGACCAGGTAAAAAAAGCAGGGCATAGACAAACAGACAGACACAACGGAGGCACCCTACGAACACCCACAACAGCGACCTACAATTTATAAAATAGCGAAAACATATAGCCGTAAGCAGTGTTGTGAATGTGTGATTGAGTGTGTGTGTGTGTGTGTGTGTGTGCGTGTGTGTGTGACTCATAAAGTGAGAGAAAGAAAAAGTGAGTGAAAATGAGGGAGGGAGGGAGGGAGTGGGAGAGAGTGAGTGAGAGAGAGAGAGAGAGAGTGAGTGAGAGTGAGAGAGAGAGTGAGAGAGGGAGAGAGAGAGAGTGAGAGAGAGAGAAAAAGAGAGAGAGTGAGAGA